ACTATTAACTCTCAATCGACATACTCAACTGGATCAACGGGCTAAACCGGGTTAACAACATTCGTCATGAAATGGCCGCAACCTGCAATAGGTTTATATATCACTCCAAGAAATAATTGTAAAAAACTAATTAGAATTTTGGTGTGCCTATGGTGACATGCATGTCACCGTAACATGTACTTTTTGGCCGACCTATTCCTAATCGCGGTCGACCGAATACACTAATGTGGGCAATATGATGACTTATCACGGTCGACCTTTTAAATGTAGTGGTCGACCATTTTGAGTTAAGTTGTGACATTACCGGTCGACCACAATAAAATATGGGTTATTGACAATAAAATATAAGTTGCAAACTGGTCGACCGTAAAAGTAATGAGGTCGACCACTTGATTGTGGTTATTACCAAAATGGTCGACCATTTAGAGAAAGAGGTCGACAAGACAGAAGAGTAAAGTGCTCTATCAATTTATCCATCCCTTTTTGACGTGAAATGAAGATAGAGTGTTGGTCTCGAGGTCAACAGAATATAGCAAGAGGTCGACTAAATTAAGGAAATTTAGCCTATGACCTTCGACTTTTTTGCATATGTATGTCGATGTGGGTGGTTCGTTTGATCTTTCAAATTACGTTTGATAGTCATTGGAATTACTCTTATGCCATCATAGCAAGGATCCATAACGTCTTAACATAACAACTTAACACACTAACAAGAAACATAATAAAACACACTTCATAATTGTTCACATAAATGATAAAACACACTTCATGAAATCGAAAACCACATAACAACAAAAAACAGAAACTAAACTCATGGAATTCCTACACCTCTCCACTCTCTAAAACAACAAATTAGGTCGACCCAATCCTATATTAGATCGACCGAAAAATACATGTTACGTTGACATGCATGTCACCGTAGCAAAGTCTTAGAATTTATTTTCATTAATTTTGCATGCGAGTTAGCCGTAATCATTCACGCAGCGGCAAACCGCGAATAACTTCTAGTATACAAGTAATATATAGTGAAAAGGAACTTCTGCATTTTTTTATATTTATGCAGCTATGAATGTTGTCGATAAATCTAGCATGACGTTCTAATTATCTGTGCCCATACCTTCATTGGAAATTCCACTAACATACATTTGGTATAAACGAATTTCACAAATTTTGAAGAATTCATTTTGAAATGAAACATTTTTGTGTTTGGTGTTTAAAAAAATTCATTTTAAATTCTAAATTTTGAATTTTATGTAATTGGAACTAGTTGTAGCAATTCCGAGGAATTGAGATGGAATTTCCAAATGAATTCCACAAGTATTTATTAATTATAATAGAATGGTACAATTATCCTCTTTTGTTAACTAACTTATTCATACATATGCAGGGGCATAGCCAGTATTTTGTCGAGGATGAGTCCATTTAGAAAAATATACATACGATAATTTTAAATAATTCATGATATTTCTACTACAAAAAATTCATGATATAATTTTGTATATATAAAACCTTGATAAATTAAATATATGTGGAAACTATCAAGAATATCATTCTATATGTATCAACCAATTATTAATGATTTAGTTAGACATTTGCTTTTGAATGGTGTTCTTCTTCAAGACCGTATAGTATCAATAACTCGAGTTATTGTGAAAGATTTATTAATGGACTATACTATTTAGTAGGCTTAATTGCAAGTTTGGTCACTCGAATTGCTATAAAATTTCACGTTTGCCACTCAAAATAATTTATTCCATTTATAGTCACTCGAATTAGTTGAACAGTTCAAGTTCGGTCACTCTCCGTTAACCTCCGTTAACTTTGACTGACATGGCGGTCAACTCTGACAGTTGACCGTTAAATGTGTGACGTGGCAAATAAAAAATAATTAAAAAATTAAGTGAAATTTTTAGAAATTACACATCATTATAAAAAAAATTATAATTATAAAAAATGAAAAAAGAAATTATTTTCTTCTAACTTGCAATTAAGCCAATGAATTGCAATTTGCAGAACACTATATCAATACAAGAAGAACAAGCACATGAACTTCTCTTCCAATTATTTTCTTCTAGTCGCCAAACACTAAAGATATCCCCCATGAGAAAAATCATGTGCAGAAGCTTAGAACCCAGAAGTATCCATTATAGTTGCCCACTAAAGATATCCTCTCTGAACTACCATGAACAACAAAAAATGACAGCACTGAAGCCACTAAAAAAGAAAAAGAGACCTGTAGGCATGAAAACCAATGAAAACCGAATGTGTACAGTAGCAGCATATCATTCTTCAGCAAGCATCTGTGTACGGTCGGAGCCACCTCCGAGGGGCTAAAGGCAGGGCGACCCATCGCTTGGTGAATGGATTGCAGAGGAATAACGTTCGCCCCAGCTGTTGTCGCTTCGGCTCGCGTTGAACCCGAGTAAGAGCAGGTCCCTGAAGCAATCAAGAATGTCGAAACGGAAACGGGCCTCGGCGGTAGGCAGGGGAAGAAAAGTCGAGACCAGATCCGGGATGTTTGAGGGAGCCGGAAGCGCGATGGGTTCGGATTCGCCGGCGATGTGGTGAGAAACGAAACGGCGAGCGAAGTATGGAGTGGAGACGAGGGAGTTCCATTGCTTGCAGACGGGTTTGGATCGGAAGGCGGATTTTGTGTCCGGTAGACGAATGAGGAGTTCAATCAGGATGTGTAATTTTTTTCATTTTTTATAATTTTTTTATAATGATGTGTAATTTCTAAAAATTTAATTTTTATTTTTTAATTATTTTTATTTGCCACGTCACACATTTAACAGTCAACTGTCAGAGTTGACCGCCACGTCAGTCAAAGTTAACGGAGGTTAACGGAGAGTGACCGAACTTGAACTGTTCAACTAATTCGAGTGACTATAAATGAAATAAATTAATTTGAGTGGCAAACGTGAAATTTTATAGCAATTCGAGTGACCAAACTTGCAATTAAGCCCTATTTAGTATTTACTAACACTTCCCTGCTAATGAAAACCAACTTATACATGCTTAAATTTTTCGCCAATCTGAATATCATGTGCTTAACAAAATAGGGTCACCAAGATTCGTACACATAATCTCTCGGATAACCATAATCAATTAGAAGAAGTGCGTTAAATTGTCATTTGTACATAAGTGATTATAAAAACATTGAATATGTCAATATACAACTGATAAATCATACATCAAATATTTGAAAGGTCAATCATTTTCATTAAAATACTTATTAATTTTCATACCCGATTAACTATTATACTCTAACCTTCTCCCTCCGCCCCTGTACATATGACATACCAAAGATTTGAATATAACATACAAAAATAAGATTTCATTTGACAATGAATTCTACATGATAATTCATTTTCTTTAATAACAATTAACGAATCCTTCCCATAAAATACAATTAACAAAGCATTTCTTTTCAATGGAGTAGTGACTTTTAATTGAAGAAGAATTTTACAAGGCTACATAGCATTGGTGTTATAGGTTTTTACTTTTATGGTACAAGTTTAAATTGTACCTTTAACGTTATGGTACAACTTCAGATTGTATCTATACTTTTTTACAAATTCTTTTATGATACAACTTGAACTTATACCTTTAACTGAAACCTCAGGACTTTCTTTTTAGTTAAAAGGACAAAAGTGTCCTTCCTAAAATCACTCACAAAGCTGAAAATTTAGAATTAAACATAACCTTTTTATATTAGTGGGAAGACAATATTGTTATTTATGTACTCTTTCTATTTCTAGTAACCGGCCTGCTTAAGAAAACTAGTATGACCATCAATTGAAACCATGGGGAACCATTTATAGCATCAAATTTCACAAAAGCCCAAATAAGGGGAGAGGTGCCCTTTCTGTCCAAAACATAAACAAGTCGAAACCAAGTTCATCAAATGGACAGCACCATGGTCCATGGGCTTACAAACCGGCCTGTACCTTTCTTTTCAATTTTGTGATCGGCTGCAAGGACATCTTTCCTGCAGTCCTATTTTAGAGAGGGAGAGAGATGGAGAATAAAGAGAATGAATGCTAAGGAAATTAGGCTCATTTTTATTGGTATTAGTGAAACTTAGGGTTCATCAACTCTCTCGAGACAATCTTGAGGTTACAATGTTACCCACTGCACTGGAGATTCCTTGGCTATCATTCCTATCAACCCTTATCTTCTTGTTTATTCCATTTCAAAGCCGTCAATTGACTATGGAGACAAATTTCATCAATAATGCAACAAGATCCGTACTAATTAGACTTCTTTAATCAGGATAAGTCCACCAAATAGAAACAAAAGAATTGAAATTACCCATAAAAGACAGAAAAATTCAAAATAACTTAATAACAACAAAAATAATGTCATAAAAGATATATTTTATACTAAAAAAAATATTAAATTTTAATATTTTTCCTGTGCACGTGTCAAATTTTAAAAAATTATTACAGCTACTACATTAAAAAAAGAAACAAATGTGAAGTAAATTAACAATCTAAAATCCCGTTGGTTTTTGGCTTTCCTCACCATTGTCCTCTGATGGCAACCATTTCTCACCTAGCTTAGACTGGATTTCTTGTTCTTGGTATCCTCAAATATCCAAAGAAATATTTGTGCGTATTGATTTGGATTTTTGAAAGGGTTAAATTAGATTGTAAATAGATCAAGACCAATAAAAAAGACCACATACAAACATTCAGCAACAAAGGGTGGTGCTTAGGAATTTGTGGTCTTGCTTTTGCTAGGTATAAACCGTGTCCCCTAATTAATGGGTTGATATACGATCCAATTACGTACATTAACAACATTACTGCATGCCTGCCGTAATTGAGCAGACAAAATCATGCTTATTATAGCCCTAATTCAAAGGCTAAAACTCAACTAGAACGCCATCCTTAATTATAATTCCATAAATGGGTCTCCGTTTGAGCTTCAGTTTTGGTAAAGCTCTCAAGTCATCTAATGATATAGAGTATGTAACAAAAGAATAATAAGAAATTTGAACGAGGTCATTATTATTGATGTATGTAAACACAAAATCACTCCTGTCCTTAAACTTCCGACAGAGCAAAATACTCCCTACCGATTTTGCTCATCTCAAAGAAAATCAACAAAGAAGCAGGGAAGAGTTACATTAGCACATTAATGATAAACACACATAATCTATTCAACAGACGCCATTAACTTTGAACCTCGAAATTCTTAAAGTAAGTACGGAGGTCACAAAACAGAAGTAAATCACCTAAAAACACACACATCGAAACGCAACATAATCAAAAACATAAACCACAACAGAGAGAGAAATCAAAGATTCGAAAACGGATTATTGATTCAAACCCAATCCATGTGGTTGGAGTCAACCGATTTAGTCAAAGCAAAAGTGAGCGCCATGGCCACCCACCCGCCAACCAAAACCCTCATCGACGACTTAACAACAGGCGCTTTCCCCAGCACGGCTCCAATCCAACCGAACACCACCAACGCCAAGCTCACCGCGCCAAACATCACTCCGACCCTCACCTTATACTCCTTGATGAAAGCAGCCGCCAGCAACGGCACCATCGCCCCCACCGAGAACGCCAGCCCCGACGCCGCCGCGGCCTGCATGGGGTTCGGCAGCCCCTCCTCTCCCTCTCCCTCAGCCCCTCCGCCGCCTCTCTCCTGGTCCCGCTTCATCTGGGCCACCTCGATGTCGTACTGAGAGTATACCGAGACGAACTCGCCGATGGCCATGCTGCAGGCCCCAGCCACGAGGCCCGCGAACCCGGTCAGGATCATGGCCTTCACGTCCTGCCTCACGGCCCCCACGCCCATCATGAGGGAGGCCGTGGAGACCAGCCCGTCGTTGGCTCCCAGCACCGCCGCTCGGAGCCACTGAGCCCTCTTGGCGTAATCGAACTGCTCCTCCTCCTCCTCCCTCCTCTCCTCTATCTTGACGGAGAGTATGGGCGACGGTTGGGATTGGTTGTTGTTGGTGGCCATTTTTTTGGGAGGGGAAGGACAAGAAGGAGATTTTGGATGAGGAGAATTTAGTAGCTTGTTGTTGTTGTTGTTGTAGTAGTAGTAGTAGTGAAGAAGTGTGGGAGACACACGCCTGTATTTATAAAGAAGTGATGGTTTGGCTTTGATTAGCAAAGTTTTGGGGAAAGTGGTGAGGAGTGGGATAGAGAGACAAATATGTGTGTATTAATCAATGAAGCGCACTAATTAGGTTAATTAGAGCAAAGCAAAATGAGAGTTTTCGTGCCTGGTTGGTTTAGCTACTTTCTTTCTTATATGGGGGGAAAGTGAAGAGGTATAGTGGAGTTGGATATGAGATGATCGTTTAAGATAATAAGGCTAGTAATATGGATTGGTTGCAACAGAAACGAACAAGAAAGGGTATTTAGCGAAGGACAAGAAAGTTGAGATAAAGACGGTCGGGGATTCGTGAGGGGGAAGAAGTTGAATGAAAGGATCTTATTATTTCAGGGAGTGGGAGCACAAAAGAGAGGGAGCAAAAGGGGGAATGGTATTTGATTGTGTTTCAGAATATGAATATACGGCAAAATGAAGGGAATCCATAAACATAATGAAAAATCATACTCACATGTAATGTTTGTTCATCATATCTATGATTTGACTCTCCTAATACGCACCGTTTATTTTTTATACACGATTTTTTTGGTCTTATTCACCTTTTATAGATCACATCAACACAAAATGTACATTAGCTGTTGATTTCCTTCGACTTGCTGTGAAATCAAAATTGCCAATGGATCTCTCTTTTTTTTATGTGAAATCGAATTCTCAATCTTTCGATACCCTTGGTAAGCTTTTTTATTTTTATTTTGTTATACGTAACAAGAGGATCTTATAATGTACATGAATATCTCTATAATTTTTTGGCCAGAAGAATATTAAGAAAGCCCTAGAGCTCTAAAATTAACCCACAAGAGAAAGAGGGAAGTAGAGTAAGAAGCATTAAAGCAATAATGGATCTGTGGAATGCTGAAGCGGAACCCACTTGTGTTATTGGGTGCAATGCAAAGAGGGGAAAGTGGGTTAGAATGAAGACAAGATTTGGGAATAGAAAATGAGAGGGGAGTGTGGTTTCCACACGAATACCACCACCTCTTCATTATTCAAATGCTGCCTCCCAATCTTTTGGTTGGGTCACCTCCTTCCACATCTTGTTATTTATTCATGGATCAGTAGTGACCTAGAAAATGGACCGGAGAGCCAATCATGGAACAAATAAAAAAGTTAATGTATTGGATAATCATTTTAAGGATTGTTCAACTTAAAAGTGCTTTTCAACCAAATTTTCAGGGCGCTTGTATAGAGTAGGAATGGCAATTTACCCACCATGTTTGTGGGTAATTTTGCCCAAACCCAAGTAGACTCATTTATTATGGGTAGAGTATTGGTGAGATGTATATGAGTTTGAGAGTTTGTAGATGAATTTGGGTTAGGTATGGATATTGCTTTCATAATGTAAATGGGTATGGGTTGGATATGAATATCCATTTACTTGATGGTGTTTTTAACTACACATACAAAAATTGGACCTATTTGTAAAAATGGAAAAGTTTAAGTACCAAAATATAAGACCAAAAAATTTTAGGTACTAAATATACTTTTCCATCCATATTTTTAGGACATATAGAAAAAAAATTAAATTTAGTTACTAAATATGTATATCTATTAAGTTTAGGTACCAAATTGTAATTTGCATTTGGGCATGGGTGCAAACCCAAATCCATTTGTTAAAAAATCCAACCGAACCCAAGTAAATGGGTATCGGTACAAACTAGTGTTATTAAAGCCGAGCCGAGCCACTCGGCCCGACCGGTAAAACCGCCACCCGGTCACAAAATCGGCTCGGAACAGTCTAAAAGCCGCTCCGATTTTATTTAATGGTTGACAAGCGGCCAAGGCGGTTAACCGCTCGAGCCAATCGAGCGGCTCGTACGGTTTTTGCCATTCAGCCGTTAAATTTAATAAAAAATTGCAGAAAATTGAAATAAACAAAAAACGTCGAGCTCTCAAACTGAATCCATATTTCCATTTCACAATTTCGAAGGAAAGATACGAGCTCTGATTAAGAAATGTCCACTATTTATACTGATAACCTTTATTAGGTACCGGTTCTCTAACGGTTTTTAAACGGTGTAATGCCGGTTGGACCACTAAAGTGCGAGCCATTCACATTACCGAGTCATGCTCCGGTTCGGTTCTGACAACATTGGTACAAACCCATCAAACTCCACCCATCTATTTGAATTCCATACCCAACCCAATTGGTTTGGATAGTAAAATACCCATGGGTATAAACAAAGTTGCCATAAACTATAGAGGTCATTTAAAGTGAATTAATTTATGTGAGGTAACTCAGTGGATACGACTTGATTTTTTTTTCCCCAAGATATGTCAAGAAGACGGATACATTTTGGTTGATGGATTTCATAGGTGGTACTCTTTGTAACGAAGGTATTGAGAATTGAACATGAAATTTCTTGTGCAAAATCAATGTACTTATAGTCAATTATTCAAGTTTTCGCTTCTCTTTTTTTCTCTCATATATTTTATTGTTGGATAAAATTTGGATTTGGCGAAAACATAAGAAATTGTTGTCACTTTGATCGAGCTAGAATAATAGTTAAGACATAAATAGTTATTCAATATGGAAAGTTGCTTGTGGAGCCTTAGAGCCTAGAGCTACAATCGCGAGGTAAGATTGACATAAATACTTACCAAGTGACGAACCACAACTCTAGAAACTAAAATTGCTATGTCACTTGCACATAGACTTAAGAGGAGAGGGCAATGGAGGGCTCGAATTGGTATGATAATGACGACTAAATTCCATGAAGATTATATTGTTAGAAGCTTATTTAATTAGTGTAATTTTGGATTGTTAACATAATAAACTCGTATTTTAGTTCCATGCACTACTGCGATGTAATTAAATCTTGTGTGTCGCTTACATTTTAAAAGTAACTTTTTCGCTATCTCAATTGGTCATAACAATTTGAGCTTGAATGTTAAGACGTTAAACCATGTATGAAGCGATTGAAATATTTCTGTATCACCAAAGTTTAATATGATGTAGTGAAACCATGATGCTTCCCTGCTAATTTCTTAGAGAAAAATATCACTATCTCAAAGGAAGAACGGGGTAATAATTTCCACTATGCTCTCCCATCTAAACTAAAGCTAAGCTACATGACTAGGTTTTATTAATGGCTATGTATCATAACATGTGCACTTCCCATAACCTTTGTAGTGGAGCCCAGTAGGTAAAGGCTTTTGTTTTTAGCCCCTTTAGATCGATCGACATCATTATTTCGGGTTTATCAGCAAATTAAATTGCCCAAAGAACTAGCCTTTGGGAAAAAGGAGAAAAAGGAAGCTTTATTTTGGATTGGGTTTAATTTGTTGAATGTTGACTGCGTGGTTTCTTAATTTTCATTCGGTTCTTTTCTTTCTTCATTCGATTTCTAGTGGTGCCGAACCATGGTTGTCACGCCGCCCGGCGTGCCACTGGTTGAACTCGGTTCAACCTGTATCGGTCATAAAACCGGTATAACATCACCGGTATGACCGGCATGATCGATATACGAATTTCTAAGTAAAATGATCTTATATTAGTGAATTTATTTGATAAAAAGTAATTTATTATTTATTTTATGTGTTAAAAAGTTAAATGTTGATGTTATTTGTTGGATTCAAGTACAAATATTTAGGTATTGACGTTAAATGTCTTAAATATGAGTATTTGTAAATTATTTGTAATATTAACCGGCATGAACCGGCACAAACCGGTATGTACCACCGGTCGAACCATTCAACTTCCTAAACCGGCACACCGGCACAAACCGGTTGGACAACCTTGTGCCGAACTAATTGGATATGCTTAAAAGAGGGCTGTAACTTTGTATGAGTGGAGCTAGTAATTCAACAGAGGTTTGGCCAATTTGATTTTAGCTATCAACAATCCTCCATCTACATTTCTTCATTTCTTTTTTTCATAAATGAAAGTAGTGTAATCTAACTTTCATTCAAAACCAACCGAAATTCGAAAAGCCAATGTGCATCATACAAAATCCATTGGTACAAAGCAGGATCGGAACACGAAATAGAATGTAAACAAAGAGGGAGCGAGTGCCATCTGTAAGCAAGGAAGTCAGCACATTTTTTCTCTTCTTTGTAGATGTGGGAGATAACAACCTGCCAGCCATGACCAAGAAGGTCCTGAAAACGTCAATCACTGCTAAGTGACGGTGAGCGTCACCATCCTAACAAAGAAGAAGCTGGACAACACACCTCGAATCAAGCTATACATAAATGTGACTAAAACTCTTGTACCAAGCCAACTTAAGCCCTTCTATAGCGCCTCTCAACTCTGCTTGGTGAAGGAGCACACGCTGAGGTTTCAAACAAACGACGAAAATCAGCGTCCCATATGATCTTGAATCAAGTCACCACCACCACCAGCACATGACCTAATGAAGGATGAACATAGTTGTCTGAGTTGAGAGTGACTCACTAGGGAGGTGGCAACTTCCACGAGATCAGCGCCTCCGTTTTAATGGGATGATTCGCTATGTGAGCTTGTTGATCCTTATCGTAGCCATTCCTCATTATCTAAATTCATGCCTTGATGCGCTGCACACAGGCCTCAACTATGATGATCTTTCTTACAGAGAAGCAACCATTCGTGGTCCGCCATAGAGACCGACAAATAGCTCCTAATTCCATTCTGGTATGTTGTTCCTTTAGATGTCTATTGATCCAATTCTATAGTTTCATTCCAAAAAATGCTAGTGGCTCACTCCTACTGTCACTCTAGAAAATGGCCAAGTGTAACCACTTCCTAAAGCGTAGAATAGCGGGTTTGGGTTTTAATGTCAACCCGGGTCCTAGATGTGATGACTACTCAGTGAATTCTTATTATCTAGCGGTGAAACTAAATTGCAGGTTCAAACAATCAAAGCAAGCAAAGCAAGTTAAACGGTTGTTTCAAGTCGAGAGAGGTCACCCGGATATGGTTCCCCCTAGACTGCGGTTAAGCCGGATTGCAATTACCAAGTT